ACGATGCGCCGACTGTGGAAGCGCCCCCGATCCCGTTGGCGCGTAGTTGGCACTTTTTGGCCCCACGACCTGCCTCACAACGCCGTGTGAGCTCCGAAGACGGTCAACTAGCTCAGCCCAGGTGCCCTCACGGGGATTAGAACCCACGACCAGCCCACAAATCGGGTGGCGGTGCTGCAGCAGCATTAACAACTGAGCCATGAAGGCACGAAAACATACGTCACAGCGGTTGACACAAGGGGTCAGGTAAAATGCTATGAGATTTGATCACATAGTCCATTCTCCGAGAGCCTCAAGTGCGTCTAGTGCGTTCAAGCAGAATAACTGCGCAACTTTTGACATTCTAACAGCAGCATTCAGCTCAAATTGCCTCAATTCTGTTTGCAGAAGATATTGCTTCAACCACAATCATTCTCATATTTTATCCCCTTCCCTCGAGCCGGCAATGACGGTTTCTTCTTGCGTTTCTGCTTTGGGCTTGATATAACTGATCCGTTGCAGATCCTCTTGGCGTGACCCACGCTGTCTCAGGCGCGCATTTGACGCGCGTACAAAACGTGATCCGTGACTTCGCCTGCAACCTACCTCCACCACAGCACGACCTTTCTCAACATGCCGAATCAGAGAGAACGCTATAAAACACGCCGTCAAGTCTTCAATTGCCGATTCCAGCTTCAAAGTGCACCTCCCCTTAGTGTTGCCGCGGCTCGGCTTGGCTTGGCTAGCCGATTGAGCCGAGCCTAAATTTAGCCAAGCCAAGCCAGCCGTTGCTAAGGTGGCTCCGAGTGACTCGGCTTCGGCTTGAGCCGGCTTGAGCCCGGCTCAGCCGTGTTGAGCCGCTGTTTTCTCTTTACGCCAACTGTGCAGCGCTGCGCTTTCTCCCTTCCCTCTCGTCATCGCCCAACATGTTCCTTACACTCCCTTGGTTCTCCCTTTTGCATAAATCCCCGTATCGCCGAAGGTGGTGGGCTAGGCAACTGACAGATGCTAATCAGAAATCGCCCTTCATGCGCCTCCGTGATCCTCGCAGCATCAAGCCCAACGAGGGACACCTTCAGCCAGCCACCCGAGTGTATTGTGGTATAGAAAGGCACAGTCTGTGCTGCGTACAGCACCTGCATTCACTTTTTAGCCATATTTTAATCTTCAAATCTTGCACGGCTCGGGCAGCGCCAAAAGGCGCTGAACAATACCTGCTGCCCAATGCGAGCTCCGCGGCGTTTCTTGCAGTGCCGAGTCCATTCGGAGACCATTGCCTTCAAAATACTCATGTGAAATTGGTTTCCACCTCTCGCAAGTGTGCGCGTCTCGCATCTTCTTTTCCCGTACCCAACCCTCTTTTTCATGAAAATGCACAAGTTGCTCGCGGCAACTCCACCGTCACCTTCATCATTCTCGCACCATCGAAGCCCTCAATTGGCAGACCGTCCAAGCATCTCCGCGACGCTGCCACCGAGATCCATAACCTGATCGGTGCACGTCTCTCTGAGTCCGTTGTCGCTGTGACACCCAAGCAGCGCCGGCGGGCGGTGACAGGAGTGGTGCGAGGAGGGGTGAATTAAATAGTGCCAGTCATGCAATCACGACATGCGGGCTCAACGCAGACAAACTCCTCTTAGACGAGGGTTTGGTTCTGCTGAAGTAGCACATTTTTGCGCTCAAGCCGAGCAGCCCCCACCGATAGAGGCCGCAGGTGCAGACTGGAGTAGATACAACCCATACTCACTATAATTCACCCGCGCTGTAAACAGCCATCTTCCGAAAATTCACTCTGAGGATGATAAATGGAAACAGATTGAATTGAATGGCCGGTACGTAGATGTATTGTCGTAGGTTGCGCGGTATTGAACAGTTGTGGCCACTCACCGCAGAACGGTCATGCTGAGTAACAGCTGGTCGTATTGCACAGCGCGCAGAGAATGCCATCCGCGTGTAACACATGCACCAGAGACGAGGTTTGCGATGGCTGACGTCGCCCATGTCGCGTGCGAGGTGAATGTGTTCGCCGAAATCAACTTGGGCGGCGCACATCATGGAAGGCTGGAGGATCGAGCGATGACGTCCATAACCTAGGGAATAGATGAGACACAGATGGATTGTCGTTAGCAAAGAGAAAAAAACCAAAAAACAATCACGCACAGTTTTCAGTCCCATCGATAAAATGTATATCCATGATAAGCACCGAGGAATTGGATGTAGGGGCATAAAGACTCATACACCAGCTATCAATGTGCCCGTGGGTTATTTGACGTCGTCCTTGGTGCTGCAAGCGCCACGAGTCACTCCAGCCTAAAAAGAAGCAAAAGAGCGAAAGAGGTATGCTCAAGACAGGCCAGGAAGTATCTCAAGGACTTGCAAACAGTATTGGATGTGGTGCAAAGCGCTGGCGGTTGAGGAAGAAGTGAAGAGAGGCCAAATCCGGGAGATCAGAATGTGACGTGGCGACTTCGTGGCCGTTGACGTTGACGACGCCGAGGGACTTGGATGTCGCAGGTGGGCAGTGATGAGAGAAGGTCCTGGGAGGTCGTAGAGGTTGTCCAGAGCCGTAAATCCACAAATGGTGCCCAAGCCGCGGCTCAGCTGTGGCTCAGCCGCAAGCTGCCCAAGCCAGCCGTCTATAAATGGCTCGGCTCGGCTTTAGGCGGTGATGGCTCCGAAGCCATCAAAAGCCAAGCCGAGCTAGCCGTAGCCGAGCCGCGGCAACACTACCTCCCCTGGCTCCTGCAAACCACTTGGGACACATTACTGTTGACGGAAGGTGCATGGGCAAGTCAGCGCTACACTTTGCATTCTCGTTGGCCTTTGTGGATGCTTGCGGCAGGGTGGAAGCTGGATGCACTACTGGGCTTTTTGGTGTAAGTAAATTGATTCATCGACGTCCCTTTATTGTCTCACGTTCCTCTACAGAATTTGAAGAACTGTCTTTTGTCGGAAGAAGTTTTATTCGAACTTCTCAAGAAGCCTTGTAATTCCGACGCTAGGCGACGCATTGCTTCAAAGGGCGTCGGGACCGTTCGAGACGGCCTGTATATCTTCGTCGGCGGGTTGTGGTATGACACTAAGGATCTTGGGAAAGTCGTACCGTGGATCAAGAATAGCTTCGGTTCCCTCACGTCGCGATCGATGCCTACCGGTCTTTGTGAGGCTTTCATCTCCATTCCCCTTGTCCATTCACTTATATCGTCAGTCGACCGACCAAGAAATCTCGCCAGGCCGCAAAAGGAGAGAAACACAAGTACAATCCCCCAGCCGGTTGGTTTCTAATCTATCGTCAATCATTACAAGTCTCATCGTTAAACAGAACTGCGCACGATACAGCGGATGTATGCTATGCAGGTCGCCAAGAAGCCTTTCAAGGCATCGAGGGCGCTGAATTTTGTCAAAGATATGCCACCCTCGACCCCCTCGCCTTCTCCTTCTCCGTCCTTCGACTCTCCGGTCGAAGGGGACATGGAAGACGAACTTGAGAGCTACAACGGCGACGATCGCGTATGCCTGATCCCCGCTTCTTTTCCCGTTATAACATATTTTCTAGACCCCTTCGAAGGCGTCCGGCATCAATGGCGGCGCAGCTATTGCCGGCGCACGGCTGGCAGAGTTGGCGGCCCAACCACGCGTATCTGAAGCACCGAAGACGCCGACGTTTCTCCAGGTTCCGTTCAGCCTGAAGGTATATCTACCAAACCTCGCCTTGATCCTTTCTTGACGGCCTTGACCAGCAGAAGATGTCCTCGTCTCCTTCCTCTCCGTCGCCAGTTACGGTCCACGCCCCTGCAAGGAGAAGACCGTTGGCTCCACGGAATCTTCCGGATGGTTAGCGAGCTTTCTGTAGCTCTAGCCGCCACATTAGCACTCTCTTAGGTCCGTCAGCGTCTTCCTCGGCCTTACCCGTCTTCTCGATAAGGTCGCCCTCAACCCGACTCAGTCTAGGCCCTCTCTGGTTCCCTCAAGACGTGCATTCAAATTCTGTGCCTTCTCTGGGCTCTAGTCTTGGCGAAGACCGGCTGTACTGGTGATATGTGTGCTCGCGTCTCGGTCTCTGGCTCTGGGTTCTCCACAATGCATCTTTCTCTCGACCCCTGCAAATCAGCGACGGCCTTCCCTCCTTCAAACAACATTCTTTGGAACCCTATTCTCCAGAGCTACAATTGATACTTGCATGTACTCCGTCTCCCTCTTCCCAGCTCAGAGCATTTCTATACCCACCACATACCTACACCATACCACATGTACTCTCGTCTCCGCCTTACCACGACAGGGATCGTATGTATTCGCTATCAGACCGATTATCTGTATCGCTTGCACAATCTATCTCAATACAATACTATAGCTTACACTGTACTTGGATCCTTGAGCAAAACCAGCTCAAGTTCTTGCCCGCCTGCCACAACCGTCGTCGTAATAGTCCCAGCAACAGTTGCCGAGTTCACTGCTGATAATTCCCCATTGATGTACATCCTGTCGCGATAGAATACTGACGTTTTAGAGGAGAATTAATCAAAATTGGCGGCATCTTCACCAGAGCTGCCTTCCTCGCCTCGTTGCATCTGCGACGCAGCTTCAGGCTTTGTTTTTGGGCTGTTTCTATGTACTCCAAATCGCGTTGGCTGGGAAGCTGAGCTCCAGAGACGATGCGCATCGACGCACGCGTACCACGCGTCCGGAAAATCTATTTCAGTTTTTCTTTTTAGAGCAACAGCCCAATTTCACTGCATAAAATCCAAAGGATGAACAGGTAATCCCCCCGATGAGAAATCAATATTAATGGTCTTCCCTATTTTCTACGGCAAGACTCGGAAGAATCCACACGGGTTCCAAACCGCTTTGCACGTCGGAAATTAAAACGAAAAGAGGTCAAAAAATATGCCGATGGGCGGGACTCGCGCTGACTGAGAAACGCCCCCAACCCGTTGGCGCGTAGCTGCCACTTCGGGGCACCCGAGACCTCCCTCACGACGCCAGCATCGTGAGCTCCGAAGACGGTCTAACTAGCTCAGCCATGCCTCCACAGGGAATCGAACCCTGGACCACGCCACAATGAAGTGGCTGTGCTGCAGCAGTATTAACAACTGAGCCATGAAGGCATGAAAACATACGTCACGGTGACTGACATGTGGGATAGCCAGCTTGTAGTTGATGTGGCGGCTGTGAGGTGAAGGTCATTGGTATCAGCCGTACCAAACGTCTTTAGCTATATCGCTCATGATCCCACCGTGCACGACTTCCTACATTTCTGCTTTGGGGTCGATATAGTTGATCCGTTGCAGATCCTCTTGGCGCGTCTCACGCTGTCTGGCGCGTAATTGACGCGTATGCGCGTATGTACAAAAATGTGACGTGAAGTGTGAAAATAACGAGAACTAACACAAGAGTTGATATCTCCGAACCCTCAAACAAAATCTAAGATTTTTTCAAGTCCAAAATGTTTTCAAGTCCAAGATGTCAAGGTTATATGATCAAGCACGCTGTCAAGAGACACCAAGACACATTCAAGTTGACGCATTCAAGCAAGATGCAACGGCCTCAGATTTTGCGCCTGGTACCTGGCCCTCATTTCTCGCCGTCTTCCAAGATAACCATTTCTTCTTGTCTGTGGTCTAATAGCTATCCACTACTCTGTTATGACTGTGAACAAGCCAACATGGTTTATTATTTTTCCCTTCGCCATAGCATTGAAATATATTTTACAACTTTACTTTCTATCGTTTGAATTGCCGTAGTCAAATACATGAATAGGAAGCGGGCGGGGTGCAGCTTTTCTGCTGGCACTGCTGGAGACATGTCCCGAAGGGCACATCAATTCTTAACAAAATCTTGAGTTTTGGCCGGTCTCCGTTGTCTGTTTCAGTAAGATAATCACTGTGAAATCATAAATGTGCCGAAACTTAAGAAAGCGCTAAGTTAATGGTGCAGCTGTGTAGGTCAAAAAATATGCCGGTGGGCGGGGCTCATGACCAAGACGATGCGCTGACTGAGAAACAAACGACGTACCTCCAATGATTATTGCTAGTTTTTTCCGTCGGTCAGACATTGTTTCTTCTCGGTCTTTGAGAAAATAATTGATGACAAAAAAGGCCAAAAAATATGCCGATGGGCGGGACTCGCGCTGACTGAGAAACGCCCCCAACCCGTTGGCGCGTAGCTGCCACTTCGGGGCACCCGAGACCTCCCTCACGACGCCAGCATCGTGAGCTCCGAAGACGGTCTAACTAGCTCAGCCATGCCTCCACAGGGAATCGAACCCTGGACCAACCCACAATCGGGTGGCGGTGCTGCAGCAGCAGTATTAACAACTGAGCCATGAAGGCATGAAAACATACGTCACGGTGACTGACATGTGGGATAGCCAGCTTGTAGTTTATGTGGCGGCTGTGAGGTGAAGGTCATTGGTATCAGTCGTACCAAACATCTTTAGCTATATCGCTCATGATCCCACCGTGCACGACTTCTTCCTGCATTTCTGCTTTGGGGTCGATATAGTTGATCTGTTGCAGATCCTCTTGGCGCATCTCACGCTGTCTGGCGCGTAATTGACGCGTAGGCGTGTATGTACTATGTACAAAAACGTGATGTGAAGTGTGAAAATAACGAGAACTAGGTCAAAAAATATGCCGGTGGGCGGGGCTCATGACCAAGACGATGTGCTGACTGAGAAACGAACGACGTACCTCCAATGATTATTGCTAGTTTTTTCCGTCGGTCAGACATTGTTTCTTCTCGGTCTTTGAGAAAATAATTGATGACGAAAAAGGCCAAAAAATATGCCGATGGGCGGGACTCGCGCTGACTGAGAAACGCCCCCAACCCGTTGGCGCGTAGCTGCCACTTCGGGGCACCCGAGACCTCCCTCACGACGCCAGCATCGTGAGCTCCGAAGACGGTCTAACTAGCTCAGCCATGCCTCCACAGGGAATCGAACCCTGGACCAACCCACAATCGGGTGGCGGTGCTGCAGCAGCAGTATTAACAACTGAGCCATGAAGGCATGAAAACATTTGTCACGGTGACTGACATGTGGGATAGCCAGCTTGTAGTTTATGTGGCGGCTGTGAGGTGAAGGTCATTGGTATCAGCCGTACCAAACATCTTTAGCTATGTCGCTCATGATCCCACCGTGCACGACTTCTTCCTGCATTTCTGCTTTGGGGTCGATATAATTGATCCGTTGCAGATCCTCTTGGCGCGTCTCACGCTGTCTGGCGCGTCATTGACCGCCGTTGACGCGTACAACGTCAAGTGTGACTCGCCAGTGACACCTCTTTCTGAACCACCACACCGCAACCCGCCTCACTATTATGCCAACCCAAGTCGAACGCAATATCGTCAAGGCTGTAAAGACATACATCGCCGCGCCGGACTGCAAGGTTCTACTGCCTTTTCTTTCGCACTCATCCTGGGACGATGTACTCTCCACAAGCCACGGGGTGCGTGAGGGGTTCAGGTCTGTGGGGAAGACCGCCCTGCATTTGGCGTTTTCTTTGGCGTTTTCCGGTATTTGCGGGGAGCTTGGTGGTGAATGGCCGGTCGGGATGTTCGGCGTAAATTGCTTGCTTCATCGTCCATCTCGTCTTTGACTCACGCCCTTCTGAAGATGCTTGAGAACCTCCTTCTCTCAGAAGAAGTCTTATATGAAATCATGAAGAAGCCCAACCACCTTCATGCCTCGCGTATCGCTGCCAAGGGCGTGGGTGCCGTCCGGGATGGCGTTCATACTTTTATAGGCGGTCTCTGGAACGATACTGGTGACTTGGGCAAAGTCGCGCCATGGGTGAAGAACACTTTTGGTCCTCTTCTAAAAGTCGCTGTGGACGTCTATCAAATGTGGTGACTTTCATCCCTCGTGTTCATCTTCGATTTGACTCCTTCTTAGGCGACCGCCCAAACGAGCCCGCTCAGCTCAAGCGCCAGATGACGCCAAGGGCAAATCCACGCATCCCACCGGTTCGTTCGGTCTTCTAGCTCTCCGACCTGCCCTGACCTGTGAAATAGACCTCCGCGCACTACAGCGCATATACGCGCTGCAGGTCGCTAAGAAGCCTTTCAAGGCATCGAGGGCGCTGAAATCTGTCAAAGCTGCGCCACCCTCAACCCCCTCGCCACCTCCTTCTACGTCCTTCGAATCCCCGGTCGACCGCGAAACAGAACACGAACTTCCTTCGAAGGCGCCCGGTATCAATGGCGGCGCATCTGTTGCCGGCGCACAGCTGACAGCGTCGACCACCCAACCACGCCGACCTGAAGCCCCCAAGACGCCGACGCTGCTCCAGGCTCCAGGCTCCGTTCAGCCTGAAGGTACATCTACGAAACCTCGCCTTGATCTCTTCTTGACAGCCTTGACCAGCGGAAGATGCCCGCGTCTCCGTCGTCCCCTCATGCGACACCCACCATAGCTCCACGGAACCTCCTAAATCGTACGCGGGTTCTTTGTAGCTATCGCAGTCGCATTGCCACTCTCCTAGCTGTGTCGGCGTCTTCCTCCGCTTACCCGTCTTCTCAATCAGGTCGCCTTGGCGCAGCTTGGCCTATATCTTCCCTCGTTCCCGCAAGCACCCTCAGATTATTTGGCTTCTTTGGACTCTAGTCTCGGCGAAGACCGGCCGTACTCGTGATATCTGCGCTCCCGTCTCAGTCTTTGGGTTCCCTGTGCCTCGTCTTTCTCTCGGTCTCTTCAAATCTGCAATGGCTTCCTCTCCTTCAAACAACTTTCTTCGGAACATATCCTATTCTCGATACCTACAAGGCTAAAATTGATACTTGCATGTACTCCTTCTCCCTCTTCCTTGCTCAGAGCATTTTTATACCCAACCCACATCTACACCATACCTCATGTACTCTCGTCGCTGCCTTACCACGACAGGCATCGTATGTATTTAATATTCCCAGTGTACCACCAGACAGACGCCACGATGTGTATCACTTGCACAGACTATCCCAATACAATACTAGAGCTTACGCTGTTTGCCTGTGTCCTTGAGCAAAACCAAGTCAAGTTCTTGCCCGCCTGCCACAACCGTCGTCGTAATAGTCCCAGCAACAGTTGCCGAGTTCACCGTTGATAATTCCCCATTGATGTACATCCCGTAGTTCCCCTCGGGCAGGTTCCGGAAGACGGGGGATATCCTGTTCCAGTTAGTCTGCGCCCCCATCATCCAAACAGCGAAAACTCACGTCTTGGCGGATCCATCCCACGTCCGCAGAGTAACAATCATCGCGCCAGCGTCCGCGTCCCACTCGCCCCGCAGGAAATCGACGCCGTCGCCCAAGTCCACCCCATCGACGTACGGCGCGCGCGCCACGTGCTCCCGCGCCCACGGCGCCTCCCACATCCTCTTCTGCCCATCGCGCACGTTCAGGCGCGCATACGCAATCGCCGCGTTCCCCGTGTACGCATCCATGCGCGTCCAGTTCCCCCCCGCGTCCTCCGGCTCGTCGTGCCGCGGGTAGAACAGCCCGCCGCGCTCCCACGTCGGGCGCAGGAACGCGTCCGCGTGCCGCAGGAGGCCGGCCACCGTCGCGGCGTCGCCGACCTCGGACACCCATTGCGCGGCGTAGCCGAAGTCGGGGCGCGAGATGGGGCGTTTCGGGGGCGGGCCGGCCAGTGCGCGCGCGCGGCGGAGCGTCTCGGGGGCGTCTGGGTCGGCGCCGTCCGTCTTTGCGAGGGAGCGCAGGGCGTGGCCGACGGCGGCGCTGTTGACGTTCACGCGCGCCTCGCCGGGGACGCTGCTGAGGAATCCGAGGGCCTGCGAGGGGTAGAGCGCGTATACCTCCGTCGAGTTCCAGGCGTTCATGAACGCGCATGCCCTATTTAACTTTTAACTGAGGTTGAGGCTTCGGGCATTGGAAGTCAGCTTAGCTTACCATGCGGTGAACCCGATACCACGCTCGGGGATGCGCTCGTCCCGCCTCACTTTGTACATCTGGACAAAAAGCCCATCGTCCTGCATGAAACCCTTCTTCGACTCCCAGGCCGCGGTGTATTTCTTTAGTACACCGTCCACGAGATTCGTTCCATCGCGGACACCGTTGTATCGCATCGCGATGAGCTGCGCCGTCGGTTAGGATATGAAAACGGAAAAACCACTTGCAAACAGCGGCTGCGGCTTACAGGAAATTGGTTGCATACGATGAAACTGGGAATGCGTTCAGCATGTGCGGAGCTCAGTTGAACTGAAGCACAGACATGGAATTCGGCTCGCAGCAAACGCCGATCCAGTTCTCGCGCTCCATCTCCTTCAGAATGGCGTCCTGGAGCGTGGTGCGAGTGTACGAAAACACTTCGCGTCCCATGCCCCAGTAGATTGGATTCCAGTCAAACACGAGCGCGCCGGGCGCGTCGTACTTGTCGTCGTCGAACAACATGGCGTGTAAGGAGATCATGTGCAGGAGATGCCCCGAATACTGCAATGACAGTCAGCCGCGGCGTTACTCTCAAACGGAGAGCGAGAAACATGCCATGATGTTCTCAGTCACGATTGGATCCGCCCACGGCTTTCTGAGCTCTTTGATGTCGGGATCCGCCATGCGGCCGCTCTGGCTCGTCAGATACCAGTACCCCCACACCTCCTTGTCCAGCATCTTGGCAATTAAACCCTCCAGCAAGGACTTGAAGAGGGAGCGCAGCGCCGGGAGACGGTGAAAGTGCGCGGCGCCGGCGGCATAGGCCATGGTCGCAAGCTGGTACCGCAGCGCGTCGAGCCATTCTTGACCGGGCGCCTGTGTGCCCATGTGGGGCCATTCGCCCGGAGGGGCGGTAGCAAGGTTGTGAAAGTGGCGCAGGTGGCCGGCTTGGGATAATGAGAGCTTCGGCGCCTTGGCTAGGAGGCCTGGCGGAAGCGTTTTGGGCAAATTGTTGGGTGGGGCAGACATGGTTCAGCCAGAAACTGAAGGCGAGGGGCTTGAGAAGACTGGAATATATACCAAATGGAACTGTGGGCGCGCATGTGGTCCGACGGAGCACGTCGCTGGAATGATTGAGACGTCCATTCACTAATTGAAATTGGCAATTGCGCGGAATCCAGATTCGAGTAGAGCCAATAGAAATCGGAGAGTTACCTGTGAGTGTCAATGAATAAGCCTGCCACGGGCCCGTAGAGAATCGCACGGTACGTATGCCTTAGTACGTACGTACAGTTCACGTACAGGGAGCCATCCTCGGTGCAGGCCGAGTTGCCGACGGTATACGTGATACGGTCCGTATCCAGCCGTATTTCGGCAAACTTGCTCAAACTTTGCCGTGAAGGGCCGGATCGTTTCGGACTCGCTTCTATGGAGAGTTCAAGCCAGCCGTAACATGCGATCTGATGTTTCG